GCCTGTGACCTGTGGCTGGAGAAGCAGCCAGCCCCTGCTGTCTGGCCGCCCGCGGAGTTCCGCTGGCTCCGAGCCCCTCCCACAGTGTGCTGGCTCCGCCCCTTCCAGGCACTGGGGCTCCCACGCGATTCCTATTAGCTAAAATCTGACATAGGACAATGTGACTGATGTGGGGAAGCAGCCCCGTAGACCACTACACCCTCTCCACTATGAGAGCGGAGGCGGCCCTGGGGGCCAAGTGGTCCGGTTCCCAGTGGAACCCTTCCCTCTGCTGCAAGAAGGGATTCCAATGGGGTCTAGCTCAGGTCCAGCCCAGGTCCGGGTCCCCCCACCCCACTCCGCAGCAGTGCCGCCGGGGGCTGAGGCGCGCGGGGAGCGAGCCGGCCCGAGGCTGGCAGGTGGGAGAAAGGCGGGTGGGGGCGCGGGAGGCAGAGGGAGACGCCGGCCCGGCCGCCGCCCCTCCCCGCGCGCCGCGGGCGACAGTGCCCCTCCTGGGCAGGGGGCGGAGAAGACCGCTACGGGAGGAGGCGGCGGCGGCGGCGGCGGCGGCGGCGGCGGAGGCGGGATTTGGAGTTTCCCTCGGCAGCGGCGGCGGCGGCCCCTAGGCTTCAGGCGAGGCCGATGCCTGGGGCTCAGCTAGTGTTCCGCGGTGGCAGTGGCGCTTCCCGCCGCCCGAGCTTCGGAAACTTCCCGGCCACGACTCTCGGAGCCGGGGTGGGAACTGAGCCCAGCGGAGGTGAGCTGAGCACGCGGCGCCCCGGGCCCCACCCCACCCCCACCGGGCCTGGCTGCCCAGCCAAGTGCGCTTCTCCTCTTTGTACCCCCAAAGTGCTGCCAGCGCACACCCCTAGGATGAAGCTCGCGCCCTTGCGAGATCCACTGGGCCCCACCACCTCAACCCCCCGCACCCTGCGGTGCAACTCCTGCACCCCTGCCACTTCCACCGGCGGCACACTCGCGTGAGGGCAAACTGCACAGCAGGTCGCTGGAGTGCACAGCCCTCACCACTATCCCCAACTCTTGCCGACACCCATGCCGGCCCCAGCCACGCCCCAGTACACGCCCAGGCGCGCACACGCTGCCAGCACAACCCCGCGATTTGTGCGCGGACAGGGCTCCCCTCACATGTCCCCTCCATCTTAAACTCTCCATCTGCCCATTAGCAGACACCGCCTCCGTCCTTTCCAGAAACACTGCAGCCACCCCTAGGAGCCAAGTGCAGCACAGGCCCACACCCCAGCTGCGATCTTGCGGTCCTCCCCGTTCTCAGACAGGCCTAGTAGTCCTGCACTCACTCCTACACCCCAACATGCGCGCACCTGCTCCCTCGCAGGCTCGCAGCCTCCTGCCCCACCCCCTTGCCAGTAGCCTTGGAGGTCCCTTCCACCACCCCTCCAGCACCTGGCACTGGGGCTGTAAAGGCTGCAGCATCTGGTGGCATGCCGGCTAGGTACCTTGGGTCGTCCTTCACGAGGCTTCCCAGCCGGGGACCAGCCAGGTGCCTCCCTAAACAGACCCTGAGACTCCCAGGTGACCTCTTCCCTAAGACATAAAGGAAGCACTTGAGGCTCAAGGTATGGCACTTAGATGTGGACTTGAGGGGCTGCCTTTGGGGGACACAGAGAGGCAGGCAGTGAAATGGAGGAGGCCCAGCTAGCATCACAGGGGTGCCCACTGCTGGGCATGCATGCACTGGATTGGTTTTGAGAGGGCTGGAGCTGGCGTGCACCATCTGTGTCCCTGTCTGAGTGGGGGTATGTATGCACGTGTGGTTGTGTGTGTCTGGGAGGAGACTGTAATGACAGTAGGGAAAATCAGGAGCGCCACTGCCCTGGGCTCCCCAGGCCACAATTGGTTTCATTCATTCCCATCTTCTTTGTTAACGAGCATTTCTTCTGCAAACACTGTGGGGCGGGCACAGGGTCTACATGGGCGGCGGGGCCAGCACGTGCCTGGTCTGCCTTGGAGGAACTCCCAGTCCAGCAAGGACCCCAACCAGGAAAAGTAGAGAGCCATCACCACTTGAGAGTGGATTTGGTGGAAGAGACACTGGATTTGGCAAGAACGCTGTCGCTGGGAGTTGCGCCCCTAGCCATGTGACCAGGCGGGCTGTGACAGCCCAAATACTACTACCATTCAGCCTGGCGGGAACGGTGCTGGGGTGCACTCCCGAGAGGCACACGGACCACTGAGCGCACGCGGCGCGCGCGGGACCTGCAGGCAGCTGTGTCCCGGAGGCTTCCATGGGGCGGAGGCTAGGGCTCCCGGCGGGCACGGCGGTGGGCTCAGCGCCCACCCTGCGGCGAGCCGCGAGCGCGCCGCCTGGCTCCGCCCGCCTGAAGGGGCCAGGCGAGGCCAGGGCGCTTGGCCGCCTGCCCGGGGAGTGGCCAGGGGGCGGGGCCAAAGTGCAGCGGGCGACGCTGGGGACCCGGGTGTGGGGGGTGCTGTGGGGGTCAGGGTGGAAGCGGGGGCTTGGCTGCACTCCGGCCTGCAGTGCGGAGGTGGCAACAGGTTCCCATGTATCCTGTTGCTGGCGCTGCGGGCACCGCAGGCACCGAGCACTGAACAGTGACTTTGGAGACTGAGTGCCCCTCACCCCTCACTCAACGCCGACGCCTTGTCGCGCGAGGTGGGAGGGCCGCCAGCAAAGGTCTAGAGCCAAGCACAGGGTATCACAGAGGGCTTCCCTTTGGTTCCCCACTGCGGAGCTGGTCTCCCTCCTCAACCACATCCCCGAAGCAACTCCAGTCTCTTCTTTCCGGAAGCTCTTTCCAGAGAGCAAGCGGGTGCCCAGATGTGCCATGCCCACAAGTCTGTGATCTCGCCAGGAGTTTGGTGCCTCAGCAGGGTGGGATAGCTTCTCCAGCTCCCAACAACATGCCACTCCATCCACTACCCTTGCCCGCCCCCCAAAGTCCCGCCCACACTCCCAGCCCTCAAGCAGGATGCCTGTGGCCAGGTGACAGCCAGTCCTTGCCTCTGCCACTGTGGAGCCAGGCTGGGAGAGCTGGAGAGCTGCGATGCAGAGACTCTTGTGGGAACGTGCTGAGAAAGTGAAGTGGCTGTACCTAGCCCTTGGCCCAAGCCAGTTGGTGCCTGAAGAAAGAGCAGAAATGGGCAGGCAGTGGACAAGGGACAGGGGTACAGCCCAACTGCCCACAACCCTTACGTGCAGGCGTCAGGAGCAACCGCAGAGGCCAAAGGTGAACCTGCAGCCTGTGGCTCAGGAGGCAGGGAAGAGGTGACCTGACTGTCACAGCCTCTTCTCCTGGCCTTGCTGCAGGTGTCTGGGGTAGCTGCAGGCTTCAGGACACACAGTCAGCCTGCAGCCAGCCTAGGTGCTGTACTTCCAGTGGCACAGCACCTTCCAGCCCTAGGAAGCATGTCTCAGGGTGCCCGTCCATGAGCATACATGTGCTTGCTCTCATGGAACCCTCAGGGGCCATCCGCAGAAGTGGCCAAGGGAATGGATTTTTCATCTAGCTCTTGGTGCACACTGCCAATTCATTTCCAAAAGGGTCCCCCCAGATGACCCAGCAGCAGAATGCCTTGCCATTTCTAGCAAGCTGCCAACCCTAGGCCACGGGCTTGGAGAGAGGTCTGCTAAGTTTCAGTAAGTGGGAAGTGTCACCTTGCTTCTTGTTACCTAGTTTTAATTTTTGTTAGTGGTTTGAGGTCCACGGTGATTATGCTTCCAGCCCAGAGCTGCTACATGCACAGAACACAGCTTCATTCTTCTCAGCCCACCCTCCATCTCTGGGGCTTGGGCTGGATTTCCTGCCATGCCTAGGGCTGAAGCTTCCTGCAAACACACTTGACGCCATCACATTCCTTCCTTCATGCAGCGTGTACTCTCCTTAAGTCCCTGGGTCTTTATCTGCCGAAGCTTAACCTTTTGATTATTTTGTATGAGCTTTATCTTATCTGTCGTATGTTTTCCTTCAACACTGTTATTTGCTTTTGTTGGGCTTTGGACAGAAAAAGGACTCATAGCCAGATGGGGCTTCTAGAAGCCTCCCTGTACCCCTCCTTTCATTGTCTGACTGAGCACTTATCACCTCAGTATCTCCCTTGGTGCTTGGCTTATTGTCCATCTGTCCTGCTGGGATGGAAGTGCCACATAAGCAAAGGGTCTGTAGTGTCCTGCCTGTCCATCACCTGTGTCCAGAAAACCACAAAAGCCACCAGCCTCTGTTGATTATGTGGTGTCACATAGGACAGGGCACAGAAGAGAGTGTGTTGAGGCACTCAGGCTGTGACAGTGACTGAGCCAACACATGGGGAATGAGAGCCCACAGCCAGTGCAGGAGGCAGCCGGGGTGCTCGCACGGGAGGACCACTGGAGACCACTTCCATCCAGGCCCAAGGGGTCAGGGGCAGAAGGAAGGCGGAGGTGACAGAGCTCAGTGTAATAGAACAGAGTGCCCAGCACAGAGGGGGGTGCTCACAGCCCCTGGGCCCCCCTAACCTGTGCACCTGAAGCAGGGCTAGACTACGTGCCCAGGAGCTGCACTGTGCCAGTTTGGGGCAAAGATCTGGGCCCCAAGGCAGTAGGAGGTTTCTAGTCCCCACTTCCTCCTCTGCTCCTCGATTTCAGTGTCATTTCAGGAGCATCCCTTAGAGGCTCAGCTGAGGCCACCGAGGTCCAGGCAGGGACATACAGTAGTCCAGGACTGCTGGATGACTTGCTGGAAGCCACTTCTGGGGCAGAGGCACTGGGCCTTAATGTCCCCCATCCCCTCCCCCTCTCCAGGGACCAAGCTGGGGCCTGCCTGAGTGGCTGCAACTGGTCCCCTGCTGGGCCTCCAACCAGCCCTTGGCCTCTGCCCTGACCCTTTCCCGCCTTGGTGAAGCTCCGGCTCAGCCACTCGGCCACTCTCAGGCCCACCCGACCCTCTGGCTCGCGCCGCCGTTGGCTGGCCGGCCCCGAGCCCGCCCCGCCGCCCCGCCCCGGCCCGCCCCCAGGGGCTGCTACTCCTGTCCGACCGGGTGCCCAGAGTAGAACCTGGGTCGCGCGCTGCAGGACGCGTCGCCCCAGGTCCCGCTTCCACGTGCGAGCCTGCTGCGCCGTCCTGCCGTCGCAGTAGCTGTGGAAGGACGTTCACGCGCGGACGCCTGCTGCTGGATCGCTCGCCAGGTCTCTTTCCCTTTGTGCTTGGGGGTCGGGAAGGAGGAACTGGAGCCAGGTCAGCTCGCCGAGTCCCCTCACCTGGGCGCCCTTCTCTTCCCCGACCCTGTCGGCCCTGAACCCCTTTCCCTCACTGCACACACCCCTCACCCTCCTGCAGCGATTGTCGGAGACTCCCGTACCTCTACTCCCAGAGAAGGAGCTGCACCCAGTGCTTGCTCAGGCGTTTTTCTTGGGGTGCCTTGCTGGGTGTCCTTCCTGTGGGCAACGCGCGAGCAGTAACCCCGCGGGACAGCGGGCTCCCGCCTTTCCGATGGACACGGGTGGCCCGGGCCCCGCACACCCCACGCTCACCCTCGTCGCGCCTCCCCTCTTTCCACAGTGCCCGCCGTCCGACGTGCACCCATGGAGGGCCTGGGTCGCTCGTGCCTGTGGCTGCGTGGCGAGCTGGAGCCGCCGCGCTCTCCTCTGCTGCTCCTGGACTGTCGCAGTCGGGAGCTGTACGAATCGGCGCGCATCCGCGGGGCGCTGAGCGTGGCGCTGCCCACGCTGCTGCTGCGCCGCCTGCGGAGGGGGAGCCTGTCGGTGCGCTCGCTGCTGCCCGGGCCGCCGCTGCACTCCCCGCCGGCGCCTGTGCTGCTGTACGACCAGGGTGGGGGCCGGCGCCGGCGTGGGGACGCCGCAGAAGCCGCGGCCGGGGCCGGGGCCGGGGCCGAGGCTGAGACCGAGGAGTGGGAGGCCGAGTCGCTGCTGGGCACCCTGCTGAAGAAGCTGCGCGAGGAAGGCTACCTGGCCTACTATCTCCAGGGTAAGGGAGGGCGCTGGGGGGCGGGGGGCAGGGCCCTGGGGAGGGCATGCTTGGCTAACCCTGGGCGCCCCTTCTCTCTGTGGCTAAAGCACGAAGGTGGCGGTGAGCCTCCATCCCAGATTGCTTTGCGGGCCAAGCGGGGCTGCGTTGAAAGGAGGGAGCTGGAGCATGACCTTGGACAAGTGGTCCTGAGCAGGACCCTTTCCTCCACAGGTGGCTTCAGCAGGTTCCAGGCCGAGTGCCCCCTCCTGTGTGAGAGCAGCCTCACCAACCGAGAGGGCTCCAGCCTGGCACCGCTGCCCAGCCCCATGCCCGTGGTGGGGCTAGGCGGCCTGTGCCTGGTCTCAGAGAATTCGGATGCAGAGTCCGAGGCTGACCGCGACTCCATGACCTGTAGCCTGGATCCCCGGAGCACCACGTCGCCACCTGTGGGGCTGATGCCCGCTTTCCCAGTGCAGATCCTGCCCAACCTCTACCTGGGCACTGCCCGAGATTCGGCTAACCTGGAGAGCCTGGCTAAGCTGGGCATCCGCTACATCCTCAATGTCACCCCCAACCTCCCAAACCTCTTTGAGAAGAACGGTGACTTCCACTACAAGCAGATCCCCATCTCGGACCACTGGAGCCAGAACTTGTCCCAGTTCTTTCCAGAGGCCATCACGTTCATTGGTGAGTCCTACGCCCCCTCACTGACACCCTCGACCTGGCCTGACCCTTCCCCTTCCCCATGGCACCTGGGGGAGGGCAGAATGAGGGCTGTGAGGGCCCTTTCTGGTGTGGCTGCACTTGCTCAGACCCCACACTACCCTGCCTAGATGAGGCCTTGTCCCAGAACTGCGGGGTGCTCGTTCACTGCCTGGCGGGAGTCAGCCGCTCTGTCACCGTCACTGTGGCCTACCTCATGCAAAAGCTCCACCTGTCCCTCAATGATGCTTATGACCTTGTGAAGAGGAAGAAGTCGAACATCTCACCCAACTTCAACTTCATGGGGCAGCTGCTGGATTTTGAGCGCAGCCTGCGCCTGGAAGAACGGCGCAGGCGGGGCCAGAGCTCGACTGTCTCTGATCCCCCGTCCTTCTTCACCACTCCCACCAGCGATGGGGTCTTCGAGCTAGATGCCACATAACACCCCAAGGGCCCAAGGGTTGCTCCCTGCCCACCCTGCCAAGTGGTGCTAGGTCACCTGTGAGGGGGGAAGAGAGGGTGCACCCACACTAGGGGCTGGGGGTGGGGGGAGGGAGAGCTCAATACCTCACACCGGTGGCACAGCAAAGCCACCCTGCCCACTTGGGACAGCCATGGGAACCCCATGAAATGTGCCTAGGGGCCAGCTGGGGCCACTGGCCTGTCTCTGCGCTTTAGCACCTGCCTCTTCTGCGACTGTTACTTCCCTCTTGGGGAGCTCCCTAGCAAAGGGACCATTCTTGGTGGCTGTCTGTGCCACCTCCTCTGCCCTGGTCCCCAGTAGCCACCTGCGGGGGGAGGACTGCTTACTGCCACCAGTGTAGAGCCCCTCTGATTGTGTAACCCAGGCTTGGGCCTCTGGGTGAATGCTGGGCCTAGAGATTGATGGATACCCTACATCCACAGGGACAGCCTCTCTGGGTGACTTCTGGCTGGGGACCACCGGGCAAGTGCCCGGCCACGCATCTGGTGCCCTGAATGTCTGTCTTACTCCCAAACCTTTTGGGACATCCCAGAGGGGACAGGGTCCCTGGCAAGAGCAGGGAGAAAGAAGAATGAAGGCCTTGACTGGTGGCTCTAGGGCTTGGAATGGGATGGAGCCACGCTGCAGACACCTGGGGTCACACACCACAGCCATGCCCAACCTGGGGCTGGCAGTCCCTTGTCACCCTTGAACCTGGGTGAGGGCCGCGCTTGTTTTTGTAATCCACATCATGATTGCTTTCTTTAATTTTTCCTCCTGAATAAATGGTTTATTTAAGATAGTGGACTGAGGCAGCCTGCTTCCTGAGCTGGGGAGGGGGGCACAGTTTGGTTGGAGAGCGGCACCTCCATTTCTACTATACTCAGGCACTGGTGGGGCCTTGTCCTCACTGTCACTGGAAGGACCAGGAAACTCTCATCCTCTGCCACCGTGATAAGGCAGAGCAGAGGACAGCTGGATGGTAGCACCCCAGGGAGTCCCTGTCTCCAAAATGGGATTGCTGAGAGAATAGGAGAAGGCTCTGAGGTGACAACCAGAAGGGTCCCTGAATCCAGAAGGGGGAGCAGCGGGGGGAGGGGGCGCTGAGCCCTCATGTGACACCAGGGAAATCTCTGATCTGCCGACCTCCAGAACGTTAGTGACATTGACTTAAGCCCCTGCACGTGTGACTTGTGACAACAGCAGAAAACAAATAGATCACCCCACAGAAAGAAGTAAGGATGGAGCTTTCTTTTTCTTTCTAGACAAGATCTTGCTGAGTAGCCCAGGCGGGCCTTGAACTCACAGTGGTCCTCCTGCCTCAGCCACCTCAGTGTTGGGCTCACAGGCAGGAGCCACCAGGCCCAGCCTATATGATATTTTAAAATTTTTTATTTTACAAAAATAAATAAATAAATGAAATTTCCACTTTTATCAGTCCACATTTGCAGTCTGTAGTGAGCACACTGTGCGTGAGGAGTTGGGAAGGACAGAACACACCTCCGTTCCTTTTTCACCCCTCCCTCCTTCCCTATCCGCTGCATCTCGTCCCCTTTCCTTTTGCAAAAGATCTGTCTCTCTATTTCCTGCTGCCTTTTGTCAGCCTATTTACTTCTTCGGCCTCACTGAAGTGTGCAGCTCTCTTCTTTACACATGGGCGTCTCGTACACGAGCAATCACATGGCGCCTGTGCTTGGGTGCCTGACTTAGTTGCCAAATCTCTTACAGATTTTACTTAGAGTGTGACAGCCCCATACACCTAGCGAGGTTGAGGACAGGTTGTGTAAGTGTGTAGACAGAACAGTCGCAAAAGGCCTGGCTGAGGCGGACACCAGCCCTCTGTCGGGGACTCTGCCATGCACGCTGGCCGCATGCGGCCTCCACAGCACTTGAGATATACAGTGAGAAGAAGCAGGAGCCTGCAAGGATCCAGCTCTGCTGGTGCGTACCTGTGATCCCAGCACTGGCGAGGCAGAGGCAGGAGGACTGCTGCAAGTTCAAGACCAGCAGGGGCTACAAAGTGCATTCAGGGCCAGCCTGAACTACACAATGAGACCCTGTCTTTAAACCCCTACATCATACTTAGGTTTGGTGTTATAGAATTTCAAAATGTTTTATCTGAAGCAGAATTGAGATACAGCTCTGTGCTTGTTTTGGGTTTTTTGTTTGTTTTGCTTTAAAAAAAAATCCTGGTGACAAAGAAAGAGAGCTGCTGCGTGTCTTCTATCCTCAATCCTCCTCACCCTTGCCGGTGGCTCCCTATAGCCGGAACCCTGGCCATGAAGCCTGGCTGCAATTGTCCTAGCTCCCTGCTGGATCTGCCTGCCCTGGCCCCGGGGCCCTTCCAGCACACGTCCACTCCTGCTTGTCGCTGCTGTAAACAGGTGCTGACGGAAGCCAGCAGTCATGAGCGATAAGGTGACAGGAGGGGACGCGTTCCATGGGGCCAGGAACCTGTTCCAGACCTGTCTTGGCGGGAGCTATGCTCTAGCCCCTGAGGGTCACCAGTGCAAAGCAGCAGGAATCCTGCAGGTCCGGTGTGAACTCTGCCGGCCCCCAAGGCATCCTGACCAGCAAGGCCAGGCCCCAAGCAGCTCAACAGCTGGTGCTCTCACTCTGGCCAGCCAGGCTTCTCCGTGCCTACAGTGGCTGGCCCCACGACATCCTTCCCGGGATGAAGCCATGAGGGGCAGGCAGCCTGCTGCTGCTTCCACTCCTTCCTTGTTTCTGGGGGGGGGGACTTTCCTACCCAGCTCCACCTGGCGCTGGAAACCGGAAACGGGAACTGCACTAGTGCGTTAGGTGGGTTTTGGTCAGGGTCTCACTACATAGTCCAGGCTGGCTTCAGACTTGCTGTTCAGGGGCTGGGGAGATGGCTCAGTGGAATAAGCGCTTCCCTGGCAAGCGCAAGTGAGTTCAATCCCTGGTTCTGGGAAAAAAAAAAAAAACAGACTTGCTATTCAGGTTGCTTTGAACTCACATGGATCTTCCTGCCTCAGCTTCCCAGTGTTGGGAGGACAGACGTGCCCACTCATCTCCACCTTGCTGCTGAGTCACTTCTACCTTCATCATATTTTCGAGAGTGACTTCTGTGGGGACATACACAGACTGTTGGATTTTTTTTGGGGGGTGGGGGGCAGGCTCAGGATGCCTGCAGGGCTGGTCTGGTTTGGCCTGAGTTCTGGGGATCGAACCACAGCATCCTCAGCCTGACTGCTTTGTTTAAGCGGCACTTAAACAACTGAGCTAAGGGGCAGGCCCCCAAAAGTACAGAAGGATTTTTTTTCAGACTGCTGGAGAAATCAAACAGTGAAGGAAAATTTACTGTAATCCAAAAGTCAAGAGAGGGAAACAAAGAAACATAAGCACATGAACATAAAGAAAGCATAATGTGTCAAAAATAGAGCCAGCTACTGCCAAGCAAAATAAATACAGGAATTGGGCCAGCCAGATAGCTTAGCGGACTAAAGCGCCTGCTTAGGTAGAGTGCAGAGGCCGGGGTTCGATCCCAGCGTGCCATGCCAGCCCCACCCCCCAAATGCGCTGAGATCGAGACTTGGCATAGTGGCATGGGCCTGTAATCCCAGCGCTGGGGAGGCTGAAAACAGGAGGATCACTACCAGTGAGTCCAATCTGTGTAATGAGACCCTGTAGATCTGGTACTAAATAAAATAAAATAAAATAAAATAAAATAAAGATAGGATTTTGAAGAAGCCAGCTCTAAACTATTTATGACATCCTTCAAAAAAAAATGGGACAGGGGCTGGTGAGATGGCTCAGTGGTCTAAAGCACCTACTTAGAACAAGCTAAGCTAAGCAAAGCACAAGGACCGCAGTTCAATCCCCAGCACCACATGCCAGCCAGCCCCGCCCCCTGGTGGGCTGAGCTGGCCACACACACTAAATAAACAAATAAAAAATTAAAAAAATTTTTTTTTAAATGGGACTGCGAGGCATGGTGGCACACACCTGTAATCCCAGGACTCGAGAGGCTGAGGGCAGGAGGATTGCTGGGAGTTTGAGACCAGCCTGGGCTACAAAGTGAGCTCCAGGCCAGCTTGAACTGCACGGCAAGACCTTGTCTCAAAAAGACAAAACAAAAAGGAGGGGGAGAGAGAAAAAAAGAGGTGGGAAAGGTAAGACTCCAGCTATGGCCAAATGAGGATCCCGGAAAGCAATGTCCCTCCAAAAGTGACTCGAAGAGGGCTGGTCCAATAGCTCAGTGGATTAAAGCACCTGCAAGCAGGCTCAGGGGCCAGGGGTTCGATCCCCGGGCCTGCCGTGCTGATACCACCCCCGGGGCGTGCTGAGATGCAATTGAGACTGGGCGTGGTGGCGCGTGCCTGTAATCCCAGCTCTTGAGAGGCTGTAAACAGGCGGATCACTTCGAGTAGGATCTAGTAGTGAGACCCTGAACACCCCGTAGACCTTTCCCTAAAAAAACACAGGAAAAAAAAGTGACTTGAAAAAACAAAAGTGACTTGAAAGCTGACAACAATGATTAGAGAAGCCAGGCGAGGTGGCGTACTCCTGTCATCAGAACTTGCTGGCTGATGCAGGACATCTGCACAAGTTCAAGGCCAGCCTGGGGTACAACAGTGAGACCCTGTCTTAAACAAACAAAAACTTGCTAAGAGCACCCTTTTGGATCTGTTAACCAGTCAAAGGTGCAGGAGCTGGCGGCAGGACACTGGGTAAGGACACCAGAAGTGGGTGGCCCTTAACCTGAGGCTGTGCCTGTCCCTTCTGCTTTGCTTGTCATGGTGGCAGTGAAAACCAGCCACTTCTCTGCCTGTGCTGCTGGGACAAGCTGTTCCCACTCCACATTCTGTGAGCAGCACAGGCCCAAGAGCTCTGCCTACCGCACGGGGCTGGGAGGGCTCCCTGCCAAGCACTGGGGTCTCAGCCCAGTGCCTTTGCACTGAGCCATGTCCCCAACTCTTCTTAGAAACAGTTTTTTTCTTTTGAGCCAAGCATGGTGGCACACACCTATAATCTCAGCACAATGGAGGCAGACGCAGGAAGATCACCGAGAGTTCAAAGGCCAACCTACGC